GAATAAATCTTATATCTGCCCCTTTTATCCCCAGAATATGTTCTAAATAAGAGAATTTAAAAAATAAATAAATAAAAACAACTGAAAAAACACACACACACAAAAACAAACACCAAAGCTAAATTAAAATATAAACTCAAACAATTCAAATAGATTCACATTATGTTCCTCAATAGTCCCACAGATTACCAACTTTTATCATATATCATGTATGTGTAGCGCTGTTTATGTATCATGCTGTATGCATAAACAGCAAAATATTATAATCAACCAAATCATAGAATTTCAATAATTTCAATTCATAAAACAATATATTTAATGGATAGCTGTAATTTTTTTCTACTAATAATTCTTATAGCTCTTTTCTGTAAAATAAAAATAGGATTTGTAATGGCTTTGCAAGCGTTACCCCAAACTACAATACAGTAAATTAAATGTGGTACAATTATAACATTTTACAACATAAACAATGCTTTATTTTTGAACAACTCTCTTACTTTATACAGCACTCAGTACAGTACAGTACTAATAGATTTAGCTATTTTTGTTCTTAAATTATTTATATGTGACCCATCGCATCGAAACAAGGATTAAGTCCAAAAGTGGAATGTGGAGAAATGGGCAGKATGGCTTCAGAGACTGCAAGAGGAGAACAATAATTAGGATCTTTGACCAGGAAGTAAGTAGTTGAATTATTGTAGATAGTTTGAGAGATGTCCACTTACAGTTGTCTTTGCAGATTGGCGTTCGTTGCAGGACATGGAGTGAGCTGAACATATATTTACAGGTGAGTTCTCCCAGTGTATTTACAGGTGAGATGATCCAGGTGAGTGATAAGGAAAGACATTCAGTGAGCTGTACATATATTTACAGGTGAGTTCGCCCAGTGTATTTACAGGTGAGATGATCCAGGCGAGTGACGAGGGAAGACCACAGAGGATGAGGACTCAGGCAGGTGAGTGCATAGATAGGTGATGGTAGAAGTCTTCAGCTTGAACAATCAGAGGGGCTCAGGAGATGCAGTCGCAGGAATCACTGGAGACAAAGAGCAATATCATCAACACAAAATGTGTAGTACACTCACGGGGCCAGAGAAGGACTCGTACCAACAAGAATTGTAAGTTCTGGCGTCGACCACAGGTGAGTGTTCTCCTTAAGTATCCCTCTCTTGATTATGACAATCACCAACACCTGAGGGAGACAATTRGTGCAACTGCCCAGCAGAGGGAGATAAGAGACGGAAACCCTACAATACCCCCCCTCTAATGATCATCTCTTGACGATGAGAGGAGTCTTTTCTCTGGGTGAGTAAATGAGAATATCRTCAAGGTAGACGAAAACAAACTTGTTGATCAGATCTCGGAGAACATCATTTATCAGATTTTGAAAAACAGCAGGGGCATTAGTGAGGCCGAATGGCATAACCAAATACTCAAAATGGCCAAACTGAGTTTTGAAAGCCGTCTTCCACTCATTGCCTACTCTGAAGCGAAGTAAGTGGCAGGCATTGTGTAAATCAAGTTTTGAAAAACCAGTAGCGGTAAGTAATTGCTTGTGGATAGAGTTAATCAAAGGGAGTGGGTACTTGTTTTTGTAGTGATAGCATTCAAACCCCTGTAGTCAATGCAGGGTCTGAGGGTTTTGTCTTTTTTGGCCACGAAAAAAAATCCTGCCCCCAATGGATAAGTGGAGGGGCGAATAATACCAGAATTTAGAGATTCCTCAATGTAATTCTACATGGTTTGTTTTTCGCTAAGAGACATGATGTATAACCTACTCGACGGAAGTGGARCACCMGGTAAAAGTTCAATGGCACAGTCAAAATGGCAATGAGGTGRAAGTGATAGAGTTTTACTTTTATTGACCAAAGCAGCTAAATCATGGTAAATGACTGCAACATTTGACAAGTCAGTAGTGTTGGAGGTCACCTTTATTTTGTAGGTGGGATAAGTGGCAGCTTTTAGACAGTTCTGTAAACAGTAATTACTCCAGCTAGAAACCCTCTTATTAGACCAATCAATGACTGGGTTGTGTTTGTTAAGCCAAGGGAAACCTAAAATGAGCTGGGGAGTAGGGGATTCAAAAATCATGAACTCACCCTTCTCTTTGTGGTTTCCCGACACGATGAACTGAAATTCCAAAGTCTCATGGGTGATGTGGGAGAGTCTCGTTCCAGTAATCCCAGTCAACGGGATAGGTTGGGGAAGACGTCGAGTCTGAAGTTGGAGAAGATCCACCAGATCCTTARAGATGAGGCTACTCTCAGCACCTGAATCCACCAATGCCTCAATAGAAAAATGTCCATCCTTGTGAAGAATATTTGCAGGTAGAGTTAATCGAGAKTCGGGGGCACAACGTGCTTCACTCACCAGGATCCCCTGTTTAGCTGGTGAKTGTGGGAGTTTGACTTCACCGGGCATGAAGCGATGAAATGTCTTTTTTGTCCACAATAAAGGCACTCTTTTGCTGCCATACGCCTCTGTCTCTCCTAGGGTGTGAGTCTGGCTCTTCCAATCTGCATTGGTTCAGGTTCGAGTTTGCTGGGGACAACAGGATTATTATTAAATGACTCACGTCTTTCTTGGGTCTGGTTGACTTAAGTTGGGAGCCAAACTTGGGGTTTTCTGCGTCTTTCACGGAGGCGATTATCAATTTTAATTGCTAGGTCTTTTAATGCATCCAAACTCTCTGGATCATYGCGTAGCGCTAGTTGGTCCATGGTGTGTTCAGACAGCAAGCTGGCAAAGGTTCCCCTAAGCGCTGTTTCGTCCCAACCAGTCTTAGCCGCGATGACCCGGAAGTGGATGGCATGATCTGCAACAGATGATTTGCCTTAGCGTAATGATAACAACTGGCGCGCTGCCTCCTCCTGGCGGACGGGAACGTGAAAAATACGTTTCAACTCATTGATAAAAACTGTACTTGACAGAGTGAATTGAGTGAGTTTGTAAAAAAGAGTTTGCCCAATCTAATGGTAGACCATGCAGCGATAAAATGATGTGTGTGATTCGTGAGGCAGAAGTGAGGAAAGCAGAAGATGAAAGTGCGAAGATCAACTCACACTGTAATAGGAAACCTCCACACTGGTCAGGACTACCATCGAAAATCATGATGGCGCGCGGCWCCGGCTTGCGATGTTGGGTGGTGCTTGAAGGATTTCTGGCATTGGAAGTTGAGGCTTGAGTCGGTTGGGTGGTTGAGGTAGGCGGAGTTAACTTATCTAATCTCTCGGATATGCGCTGAATCAATCCTCTGAGTTCATTCAAGTTAGAATGAGAAGTTCTCTGTTGGGATAACAACTCCATTATTTTCTTTCCAATAATCACCCTCTGTAGGAGAGTGGGCCGAGGATTCTCAGAGCCGTTTCTTGACATTATGRTGGCCAGAACAAACTGTTAGGTTTTAGTAAATCTAGTGTCAAGGAAGGTGAAATGGCAATGTGTCTCAGACAAAGTTATGTACAAATTTAAAACAGTGTTTATTTTACAGGAATGGTGGTGGACACAGGATGGCTTCAGAGACTGTGTTCCCAGGCCAGCCGAGAAACATAGTCCCTCCAGCGTGTCCTRGGTCTTCCTCTGGGCTTCCTCCCAGTGGGACATGCCCAGAACACCTCACCAGGGAGGCGTCCAAGAAATCTTGTATCATCTGCAAATAGAACACATTTTAAAAGTCATTCACATATAAAATAAATAACTTGGGTCCAAGTACAGAACCCTGAGGAACTCCAACTTCATCAACAGAACTGATTATAGATTCTTTGAAAACATACTGACTAGTTTCTACTGACTATTACATACTATTTTTTTTCTTTTTGATTTTTTACCTGGATTACTGAGATGCATCAGGACATACTGACTAGTTTCATTTATGATCTCCTCAGMCTGAACGACAGCAGTTTTCAGGAGCTTCTGGTCCTCCTCCATGAGATCCARGACCAGGACCTGGTGTTGTCCTTCTTGAGTAAAGCTGGTGGAGATTTGTCCTCCTACTGTCTGAACTGGAAGCTGCTTCATTTTCTGCTGCAGCAGCCGTCAGCTCAGAGCATCACTGTGAGCCTGAGGAAGAATCGCTTCCTACAGGACAGAGCTGCAGATCTGCTGCCGTTCCTGGACAGAATCATAATTAAAAGGTGACCATTAGAATATTTTTAAAACATTTATCAGATAAACAGTTCATTTTGTTTCATTTCATTATTTTTTTCTGATTCCTGTAACAAAACAAAGCAATGCTGTAAAATCCTCTGTCTGCTTTCAGGTCCAGTCCTGTCTTTGTGAGGACTTGGATCAGAGAGATCTACAGGTTCCAGGCRGGTCACATGATACCCAGTTTACTGAGGTCACTGGATCATGTGATCAACCTGAGCTGCAGAGAGCTGGACTCAGAGGACTGTGCTGCTCTGCTCTTCATCCTCAGACACAGCCATGATGTTAAACTGAAGCTGCTGTGGACCTTCATACCAGCAGAGACCACCCAGTCCATAGTGTCTCTGCTGCACACAGTTTCTGATCTCAGGTCAGATTGTTTTTTCAATTCAATTCAAAAAATTTATTCATTTCAATAAAAAATAACTATATACAATAAAAACAAAGAAAATACACAAATCGAAAATCAAAATAAAATGAAAGGTAGCAGAAGAAGAATAAATCTTACTGCCCCTTTTATCCCCAGAATATGTATATTCAAACACAACATAATTTACAAAACAATACTAAATAAAAATAAAAACATCAACTCAAACAACTATTCATATAGCTTCACATTTTACTTTTCCATATACCTTCAGAAAACTAGCTTTTATCTGTCTCTTAAATATATACATACAGTGGTTTGCAAAAGTATTCATACCCCTTGAACTTTTCCATATTTTGTCACATTACAACCACAAACATAAATATATTTCACTGGAATTTAATGTGAAAGACCAACACAAAGTGGTATACAATTGTGAAGTGGAAGCAAAATTTTACATGAATCAAAACGTAATGTTATGCATATAACTACTGTTC